ACTAACTTTAGTTAAGGTAATATCGTTAATCTGGGAACTTGAAATATCTATATATTATACTTTTGACACTAATGCAAGAGACTTTTTTCTTTTTTTTTTTTTTTTTTTTTTTTTTTTGAGATGGTGTTTCACTCTGTTGCCCAGGTTGGAGTGCAGTGATGCGATCTAGGCTCACTGCAACTTTCACCCCCTGGGTTCAAGAGATTCTCCTGCCTCAGCCTCCTGAGTAGCTGGGATTACAGATGTTCACCACTACACCCAGCTAATTTTTGTGTTTTTAGTGAAGAAAGAGTTTCACCATACTGGCCAGGCTGGTCTCGAATTCCTGACCTCAGGTGATCTGCCTGCCTCGGCCTTCAAAAATGCTGGGATTATAGGCATGAGCCATAGCACCCTGCCTGAGACTTTCATTGTTTTGTTGCAGCGAAATTGAGTTTTTAGAATATATTGTTAGATAGAACCTTTTTTGGTAATGAAATGATGGCAAGTAAAGCACTATGAAACAAATGGGAAACTAAATTGAAAAAAGTGTTGTTCATATACTTTTACCTTTCTAGCTTTTATCTAATTAATTTCTTCCTTTTCCCCCTCAGAAGTTATAAACAGTACAGGAAAGTGTAGAGAGCAATCTTTTATTCATAGCAATATGAAGATGTTGCTTTTTATTTGATGTGAGCTAGATATTAATGTGCCAATGCATGAGTTGGCACAAAAACCCTCTATGAAGAAAAGTTAAGTGTTTTTATTGTGTTTTCATGATAATAATTTTAAGAAGCACTAAAATGTTCCTTTTTCCTTGACAATGAAATTTGACTTCACCTGGGTTTCTGTATAACATGAATTGCTATTTGCAATGATAGAAACCAAGAAATTGAGGTACACATTTTGTAATTTATCAAGATGATATCTTATTTTTTAAACACAATGGCACTGGTTTCAGTGGATTACCATGGGATTTATTTAGGTATGGAGCTTGAGGAGCATTGAAAGGTTATTTGTGGCTTTTGAGCCACATGATGCAATTAAGAGATGCTTTTTCCTTCCCCGTATAGCATTCCAAGAAACATATTTGCTATAATGAATTCTAAGAGTACATGGTTCTCTACAGAACTTCTACCAAATTAAGCCTCTACAGAATGTTTCATTGAAGAAGAGATATTTAAATCAGATTAGCAGAGCACTCTTGCTGTGTCCTACCTACCAGGACACAGATACCAGGACACAATTCTTCATTGTCTTGATGCTTGCTGTTAAAAAAAACACATTTGTCCATTTAGTGAGTTTTAAATTTCCTTTGAAAAAATCCATTTGGATGAACAATTCTATGCAGACAGCAGTAGGAATTTATTACATGTTTGCACTAGCAATATTGAGAGTATATCTTGTACTCTGATAATTTTGCAGGTTTAAAGATACAATCTTTGTGTTAATTGTGTTAATTTGCATATTCTGGAATACTGATTAGGTTGAACATTTTTCTGTCTGCTAACCATTTGTACCTTGATCTTTGTGAATTGTGCACTCATATCACTTACACGTTTCTCTTGGCTAATTTTAAATATGTGGACATTTCTAGGCAAGATTACAATGTTGACAGCCCTTTGTTAACATATGACAATGTCTTAGACATTTTTTTCCTTTGTCTCTAAGTGCAGTGCGGAGAAATGCCACAGTCTGTGTATGTTTGGTTTGAACACATTTACAATGCTTTCAGTAAAATGATCAGACAGTGCCTCTATCTCTAAGCTAATACTCATCAAAAAAGTAATTGTTTTCTTTTAGGAAGCACAGTTGAGTGATTCATGCAAACTTTGTGAAAGACTGCTCTTGTGCTTTATGGTTGATCATTGTTTCAAGAATAAGATGTGTGCTGTGGTGATGGGGTAGGCGGGGGTGGCATGCAGACTGTAATATGGCAGGGAAAAGAGAGGTTTAATTTTTAGAAAGAAATTTGTTAATATAGTCTCTCCCATGAGTAATTTTATATGGTTGGTGAAATGGGACTATTTAGACAGAATTTGCCAGATTCTAACTTAACATGTAAAATTGGATCCAAATAACAACTATTTTATGCAGATTTAGGAAACTATTATTCTTACATGAGCTTATGTAAAACCAAAGCTTTGCTGCATAATTTTCTTAAAAAATTCAAAGCCATTATCTACTTATTTATTATTAGACTTGAGTTTTCAAATTGATGGGCCTGAGGAGAGCAGATGAATTATTAGGTAGCCTTGGAAGAATTAGTGGTAATTAATAATCCTGCTGTGTTTCATATTGCTAGCATTACCTCATGGATTCAACCCTATGACTGGGAAATTATTTGAAACATGAAATTGCTTGTGAAAAATTTTCATGAGACAGTCAATTCCTTTATATTTGGATTTCTCAACTTTGGCACTTGACTTTTTTTGCCTGAGAAACTTTGACCTAGAGAACTGTCCTGTGTTTTGTAGGATGTTTAGCAGCATCCGCAGTTGTGACAGTGAAAAATGTCTGCAGATGTTACCAATGCGGGGGTGGGAGGAGGGGCAAAATGCCTCCTGCTCCCCCTCCCCACATTGGAAATGACTTGTATGTATATTGTATTTAACTATATGAGTTGAAAGAAAATCAGATTAAAAAGCTGTTATTTTTTTCTTGGAATTACTCAGATAATAATTCCTTTAAGCATAAATTGATATAATTGTGGCTTGGGGTTTGCAGAGAAGTGTTATCTCCTTGCAATGTTGAAGAGCAGTGCTCTTCACATCCAATCAATAAACTTATTAAAGGGGAGATAGATGGGAATATTGAATCTGCTATGAAGGTTAACATGGCATGTACTGTTACCAATGCAAAAATTAGTAGGGAGTGTTGTGAATGTTAAAAAGTCAAAAGATACTGATAAAACATAATGAAAAAGATAACTTTAGTGCAGGTTTCTTCAGCTTTTGAAGTAATTAATTTAAAAGGCAGGCATATTATATTGCCAAGAAAGGGCTGCATTTTCACTTTCTGTTAAGAGCAAGAGACAAATGACAAAGTAAACAAGTTGTTATCTGTGTTTTACTCAAAAAAGCAATTTCCAGGAAATGTCATAGTGGCAATGTGAATTCAGCTTTACTCCCATCCCTTTTACATCTGCAGTTTTATAATAATGATAATTGATGGTCATTTAAGCACTGCATAATAAAGAAATGTCTTTGGAATGATCTACAGAAAGAAGATTCTGTATTCATTCAGAGGACATATATTAAGTCTCTCGTACCAGGCTCTGTGCAGGGAATACAGAAACTAATAAAATGGTCTGCTTGAATATCCTATTAATATAATTCTGGATGAATAGACATTTTCTGGTTAGGGATACCAGTCACCATCAATCAATTTCTGACTTTTCCAATAGATTCTGTAATTGTAAGCGTCTGTCCAAAAACGTTGTTTAGAAGTGTGTGTATGTGCTATACATCACAAATATAATTTAATTCTCTTTAAAGCTGTCTCTGAAACTCTGGTGGAAGACTATATCCATTTTCTTTTCTGCTTTTTAAAATCTTATTCTCTTCTTTATTAAATATCCATCAGAATTAAATTAAACATAGTTATATATTATTAATTCATTTTTAGTTATACTATGGCTCTAATATCATTAAGATGAATTTATGTCACCCTTAAGGCCAGACTTTTTGCTAATTATTACAAGATTTAAAACCACTTGGTGTCATAATTCAGAAAGCAGAATCTTTAGTATAGTCTTTTTCTTGTTATAACTGATCAACTTAGTTTATAGGTGTAATAGGAAAAAAAGGTGAAACCATTCTGATATTGGATAGCTCAGTTAGACAGTTGAAAAAGCAAATAATTCTAAATTGAGTAAATTACAAAGCAATTGAAGAGTTCTAACATTTGAAAATCTGCTTTCCTTCTTTTTTCTTAATGTCTATTTTAGCAGTGTTTTTAGCAGTCTATATAATGAATATGGAACCAAATTCTTCAGCCATGGGCTCCCCACCTTTAGGCAGGTGATCCAGAAATTATTTTAGCAATGTATGCTTATGGAGAAACACAAGATCTCTTCTAAGGAATGATGGAAGGTTGTTAATCATGGCCCATTTTTAGTATAATCTGAGATTTTTAAACTATCAAATGTATTGTCATATTCTGTTTGCAATTAAGTGACCTGCTGATTAAAGTTTCTCACTCTTGGTTATATGCCCCTTGAAAATATTATTGTTGTAATATTTTTATATTATTGTTGTTTATATTTTTAGTATTCATTTCTTTGAAAAGATGGAAATGTGACTAGATTGTAGTTATTAACCAATCTCAAACTGGTAAGAGTTACTGCTAGAAAAAGAAACTATTTCATGTGAAAAATTTTGTTCAGTTGGGATTGATTAAAACTATTACTAAAAACAGAAGAGGAAGTAATACATTAATATATCACAATTAATCTTTTACTTTTATTAATGGGGGTTTGGAGTTGGAATCAGACTAGATCTAGTTTCAAAGCCTGGGCCAGCTACTTTAATAACATTGTGACCCTAGGTAAGTGGTTTTCGACCCTTCTTTATTTAGTCTGTGTATAAACTTATTGGCAAGTGCCTGATACATACTGAGTATTCAATAAATGGTAGCTGTTATTTTTATCTTTCCCAAATTAGGTGTTCCAAATTAATTTTAACTTTAGGCAACACAATTTGATGGCATTGCTATCTAAATAGTAAAATATCAACAGTAATTACTGTGGCCTTTAAAAACTCTGTGACTATAATTTTGAACCACCTTTTAAGTTGATTTCTCAGTTATCATCTGTACTTTCTGTCCTTGGAAAGCATTTTACAATTATACATTTCTTCTAAGATAAAGAGTGGCACAAACCTATAATAACATGAAACAATATTTACCATATTGCATAGTCATATGATTGGCAATAGTGACTGATTATTTTTCTAAATAATCTCATTGTGAATTGTACAAGTTTTAATTTGCATTTCTTTCTTATTTAAAACAACTTTCAGATCTCTCGTGGAAGAGGAAGACCAACACATGAAATTGTCCCTTGGAGGCAGCGAAATGGGCCTCTCATCCCATTTGCAGTCTTCCAAGGCAGGACCTACACGCATCTTTACCAGCAATACCCACAGTTCTGTGGTGTTACAGGTAATTTAAGCTGTCCCTTTGGTAGTATTTACATAGCTTTAAAAACCCACCATGGACTTTTTGGTGCAGAATGTCAATAGCTGGGGAAGTTGTGGGTACATGTGGATAGGAAATACATGGTAACTATTTTTTGCTCAGTTTTGCTGTGAACTCAAAACTGCTCTAAAAAGTGAAGTTCGTTAAATAAAAAATACAAAGAATAAAAACTAACCAGGAGAGAAATCTTTATGGAGGAATGCATACATTCCTGAGGTTAAAAAAATCCTCAGAGTCAATTTTTTGTTTCATTCGTGTACAGGACGTTTTGCTAGTGTGCCATTTTTTTTTTTTTTTTTTTTTTTTTTTTTTTTTTTTTTTTACAGAATACCATGTTTGATTTCATTCCAGTGTAGTCAAAGTAAGTATTACAGAGTCCCTGCAGTGAATTTTTTTTTTTTTTTTGAGACGGAGTTTCACTCTTGTTACCCAGGCTGGAGTGCAATGGCGCGATCTCGGCTCACTGCAACCTCCGCCTCCTGGGTTCAGGCAATTCTGCCTCAGCCTCCTGAGTAGCTGGGATTTCAGGCATGCGCCACCATGCCCAGCTAACGTTTTGTATTTTTAGTAGAGACGGTGTTTCACCATGTTGACCAGGATGGTCTCGATCTCTTGACCTCGTGATCCACCCGCCTCGGCCTCCCAAAGTGCTGGGATTACAGGCTTGGGCCACCACGCCCGGCCCCTGCAGTGAATTTTGTAGTTCCTCACTCACAGCCTGTTTTACTAACATCTTTGTAATGGTTCTAAAGGTTGTATTTAGTTGGTGTCTCAACTCATATTGGAAGTAGTAGCTGTGAAAGTAGAGGTTAGGACTGCTGGATGCAAACCCACTGATACATGTAACAAGTAATAACTAAAATCAAAGCAGGGGACAGAAACACAGTAGAAAGGCAAAAGAATATGAAACACAGCAATCTGGAGCTATTTAGCATAAGGATCAGAAGCCTAAGTACTTTTGACTTTTTTGGACCTTTTCTGACTTCTGTGAGCATTGCTGAATTAGAGATCAATATGATACTGGATGTCCATTAATGTCTTCTAAAGATAGTTAAATTACATTGGTCCTCTTACTATCCTTAGTAAGAGAAGGAAAATGTCTTTCTAAATGCATATTTAAAAGAAATATCCCCAGATGGATTTCATGCATATCCCTGATCAAGAACCATTATAGTAAAGCTGTATATAGAATATAATATAATGAGGGATGAGATTTATACTTGCTGTGCATCCTCTGTGTTTAAATGTAATTTCACCGAATTTCATTTTCCTTATCTCCAAAATATGACTCTTGACTAGCATACCTCTAAATTTCCTTCTTGTTTCAATCTTTGAATTTAGTAAAATCGTATTTTCCTAGTATTTCAGTTTCTAGTTGGAGCTGGGGTCTATCTAGTAAGGTTCGTTGTCCTGTGGTTATAATCAATCAATATGTGAGAGTCAGGAAGGAAAATCTCTCCATCTCCTGGCATCTTAAAGCTGTGTAAATGGTTTACTTGTTGATTTTTCAAGATTATGAGGGGAGAGGATAAGGGATCAAACAGATAGGAAAAGTGTGTGAGGAAGAAATGCTTTTGGTATATTAAAGTGTTCTTGCTGAAGAAAAATAAGAAATACCTCACCACTATACTCCTGCCTTATGTAATGTTAATAGCAGTCATGAGTTAAAGCCAATTATTTTGGTCCTGCTAATTTTTAAAATTTACTTTAAACCAAACAATCATAGCCACGGTAGTACAGTGAGAGAGATTTAGAACAATGCTTCTGAAATTTTAGTGCACTTCAGAATCATTAAGAGGGCTCCTTAAAACACTGGACACTAGGCCCCAACCCAGAATTTCTGAATCAAAATATCTGGGGATAAGACTCAGAAATATGCATTTCTAACAAGTTCCTAGATGATGCTGCAGATCAAGGAACATACTTTTCAGACCATTGTTCTAGAGAAGGCACCTTCTCCTGCCAAGAGTCATGGCCTTTTCTTTTCTCCCTATAAATTTTATGTAGGTTATAAATTACTGTTACAGTGGATAAACATTGGAGATAACTTAAATTTCTATCAGCAGGTGAATGGTTACATGAATTATGTTGCATCAAAACTATGTAATACTGTGCAGTCACTAAAAAGAGTAATATCTGTACATATTGAATGGAAATAATATAAGATACCAAATAAAAAAGTAACAGGGAAAATGTGATATATCCATACAAGGTAATATGATCCAGTTATATTGAAATATGAAGTACTAATGCATGCTATATCATATGGGTGAACTTTGAAAACATTATGCTAAGTGGAAGAGGCTAGTCAACAAAGTCCATATTTTATGTGATTCCAATTTTATTAAATGTCCACAATAAAGAAATCTATAGAGACATACAGTAGACTAGTGGTTGCTTACAGCTTGGGAAATTGGGAGGATATGAGAGTGAAAGCTAAAAGATACAGAGTTTCTTTTTAAAGCTATAAAAATATTCTAAAGTAGACTCTGGAAATGGTTACAGATATCTGTGAATATACTAAAACCATTGATTTGTACACTTTAAATGGGTGAATTGTATGGTATTCAAATTATATCTCAATAAAGCTGTTAAAAATGTAACAGGGCAATATGTATTGTATAATCCTTTTTATCAGTAGAAAAATTATACAACATATATACATATGAATGTGAATGTGTAGCAAAAGGTATGGAAACACTATGGAAACTGATGAATAATGTCATCTTTTGCTCCGTAAAATCTTACAGTGTTTAATTTTATTTACAATGGAAATAGTTTTCTGTATAATAACCTCTGTAATAATACATATATATATATAACAACTGACCAAACAAGTGTAGCTGGGTCTCAGAGCCCTTAGCTCCAGCGCACCTTAGCTTGTTGGTCCAGTCTGAGAAAGAACAGTGATGTGAAAGTAACCTGAAATTTTGTGTTACCTGAAGATAATTTTTCTTCGAACGATATTTTTATGTTGTTATAATATTTCCTGTGGTATCATAGAGATACCTCTCTATATTGCTATTAAAATTCTTGTATGCTCTGTTTAAAAGTGTCTTAAAAATTATGTTCTCATAAATGGAGATTTTTAAGGCCAAACACTAACAAGGAACATTTTTGTATCTAATCTTAGGTGTGTGGTTGTCAAGGGAACAAGCTAGAAAAGTGTTTACTGTGTAGATGTTATCATTGTTTTAAAATTAGCAATAACACAAATTCCAGCTTCAAAAGACTTTGAAAGTAGCTGTCAGGGGAACTGATCCATGGGGAGAAACTGTTGTAATAAGTTTCACTCTGCAAGAGTACCCACTGCCTACTTGTAGTGAGAAGGACGTGGATTTCAGCCAAAACTAGACTTCTAGTCATGCCCCTTATTAGCTAGTTATGTGACTTTGAAATAGTCACTTATACTCTCTGGCCCAACTTTTTTATTTATAATCTGGGTAAGAGATTTGAGGATTAAATGTCACAATTTATGGAAATAAGGTGTATAATAAATATTCATTTATTTTCCTTCCACTTGAGCTAAGTGGAGAAGGTCTCACAGGAAATAGAGCTGATCAGAAGTTATGGGTATACCAAATAAGGTATCCATCTGGTTGGCTTGAGCAGATCTAGCAGGTTTCTCATCACCATTAAATGGCTTCAACAAACTAGACTGTCAAAGAAAATTACTGGAAAGTCATTTGATACCTAACTGGCTTGGATTCCTAGAATCTTGAACAAATTCTAGGTTAATCAATCCGTGACTGAGTTAGCAGGCCAATGACTTTTACTCAAGTAAGAAAGATTAGGGTTAGTTTAAGTAGTGATTGGTAAAATCAAGGATTATTTTATTTCCCTCACTTCTTGGCTACTATTACATCTGTGGTTATTTCTCATGGAAACTTTCTATTCTTTGACTTCTCTCTATTATTCCAGGTGGTCAGTATCTTTCTCTTATTGTCCTATCCTATGGCAATTCATTGAATCATACACTTCCTAGCAACCTGTTTTTTAAATAACAGCTTTATTGAGATATGATTCACATACCATATAATTCACCCATTTAAAGTGCGCACATCAATGACTTTTAGTATATTCACAGGATTGTGCAACTATCACCACAATTAATTGTAGAACTTTATAATTACCTCAAAAAAAAAAAAAAAAACCTCATATTTGTTAGCAGTCACTCACCATTTCCCCCCCCCCAACTCTTTCCTCAGTATGGCAACTGATATTGTTTGGCACTGTGTCCCCACCTAAATCTCATGTCAAATTGTAATCCCCAGTGTTGGAGGAGGGGCTTGGTGGTAGGCAATTGGTTCATGGGGGTTGTTTTTCCTTTTGCTGTTCTCATGATAGTGAGTTCTCAGGAGATCTAGTTGTTTGAAAATGTGTAGCACCTCCGCCTTCACTCTCTTCCTCCTATTCTCACCATGTAAGATGTGCCTGTTTCCCCTTCTGACATGGTTGTAAATTTTCTGAGGCCTCCGCAGCCGTGCTTCCTATACAGCTTGTGGAACAATGAGCCAATTAAACTTCATTTCTTTATAAATTACCAGTTCCAGGTGTTTCTTTATAGCAGTGTGAGAATGGATTAATACAGCAACCATTTATCTTTTTCTCTGTTTCCATAGATCTGTCTATTCTGAGCATTGCATATAAATGTAATCATACAATATGTGGTCTTTTGTGACTGGTTTCTATTACTCACCATGTTTTCAAGGTTTGTCTATATTGTGGCATATAACATGCTTCCTTCCTTTCTGTGTTCAAATAATATTACATTGTATGGATATTTTGTTTATCCATTCATTGATAAGCATTTATTTTTTACATACATTTGGCTTTTATGAATAATGTAGCTATGAATATTCATGTGTAAGTGTCTATGATGCCATGTTTTCATTTCTTTTTGGTATATACCTTAGAGTGAAATTACTGGATCCTGTGGTAATTCTATGTTTAATTTTTTGAAG